TCCTGTGTATAGGCTTGCAGTAAACAGAACAGGAAAAGTGTCATAGAGCAGTGGGCATGAACGTTAAGGAAGGGTAGCAGTGAGTTAATTAACATTTAACCTTGAACTAACAGGCTTAGAGTAAAAGTTGGAAGGGATTAAGTCCCTAGTGAGAAGGATGTACTCTGATAGTAAGTAGAATAGTTAAGATACTCCACAAGAAGGTTAGAAACACCAGTGGTTTGAGAAAAGTTACCCTGAAAGAAAATTGGTTATAGGGAGGTGCAGTAGGCTTTCATTGGTTTTCACTGAAGAAACACTGAGGAGAAAATTAGTGAAGATGGAGACTAACCATTATGACTTCAACAGTATACTGATAAGATGTGGCCTTAAATGTTCAGTGAAATCTTGAGAGTAGTGGAAGTGAACAAGTGAAAGAACCAAGAAAAGGAGTGTGCCTTGGCCAGCCAGGAGGCACGGAGGATGAGGCATCCTTTAGAGAAAATTATTAGGCATAGAGGAGTAAAAGTTTGAGTTTTAGGAAATAAGGCGGAGGGGGATAAATACCATGAAAATGTTGTAAAAGTTGTTAGGATAACTGGTAATGGTGCAGTATTTTGAGAGATTAAAAACAGAGCAACAAAGCTCAGTTACTACAGTTCATTAACCCCTTGACTGTCGCAACCCCCAATCCTGAGGTGTCTGCTGGTGTCGCAAAATGTAACAAAAAAAATTATTTTTTCTTATGAAATGACAGAATCTTTTCCCGATAGTAATGACACCAAAAAAAAACGAAATTTGATGGAAAACTGACGGAATTACGCTCTCGCGAAGTTAGCGACCTCGGCGATATTTACAAATCGGCAATTTCGCCCACTTTGAGCCCTATTTTTGGCTAATTCCGGTGTTCCAGTCGACCAAACTCATAGCGATTTCTTTAGAACTAAGTTTTTTCTATCGGTTGAGTACAAGAAACTGCCCATTTACCGATTTCAACTACCCAATAACGTGGTCAGAAATTTGCAATTTGGCCAATTTCACAAAAATTAAAAAATGACAATTTCAAAATAAGGTCCAGAATGAACAATGCAGACATTCCTGGCTCTAAAATAACATTTTCTTTGTTCATCAGTCATGTCTCCAGGCCCCTCTGATATTACTCTTGCTTTCTATTTTAAATTTTTATTCAAACAAAAAATAGAAGATTTACTATTTTGCAGACTACTGCAATACTGTAATAATTGTATAAATAACATCAACCCATTCATGACCGCATATTAGAACGGCTAGTTGGACATTTATTGGACAATGACATCATTTGTTTACTTTTGAACATCGGCAAAAATCAAACATTTCCCCTACTTCAAGCTCCATTTCCAGGTTCTTTTTTTAGTAAAATCGATCAAAATTACCTCTATTTCTATAATATGTTTTCAGTTCTATCAAAGGAGACCAAAAAAACGAGAATACAACCATAATTACTATACGAAAATAGACCACAAAGTCGGCATTTTAATTAAAAAAATATTTTCTCGTACACTGCGTGCTACAGGATTTTTTATATGGTGCACACTGACCACACAGACCCATTCTTTCACATTTGGGCCTACTAGCTTTCTCCTGCTTGATTTGAAGCCACTAGAATTTGAGTATATATACGTCAAACACGGTGGCGTGTAAGA